AACCTAGAACCTTGGGATGGTGAAGAAAAAACCTAAAATATTTGTCATTCATTTATAGACTTTTAACTCTATGGCTTACTGACTAAGAAACATGAAATTTGGTGATGGAGAAAAAGCATATTGAATATATTTACATCTAATTTACAATAATTCAATGTGAAAAAGGTAAATATGAATAAGTATGAGCGTCATTTTTTAATTTTTATTTTTACCTATATTATATAAAATATATGTCATGGATTATAGTCTTTTAACTTTGTTGTTTAGTGGGGAAAAACCTAAAATTTTGTGATGGAGTTAAAATTAAATATAATTAATTTGTTACACATACTATAGTCTATTATGTTTGGTGCTTAGTGATGAAAAAACCAAATAATTTGGGACGGTGAAGAAAAAACCTAAAATATTTGTCATTCATATATACTCTTTTAACTTTGTGTCTTACTGACAAAGAATAATGAAATTTGCTGATGGAAAAGAAACATATTGAATATATTTACATCTAATTTACCATAATTCAATATGAAAAAGGTAAATATTTATAAGTTTGAGCTTCATTATTTAATTATAATTTTTACCTATATTATATAAAATATGTGTCAAGGATTATAGTCTTTTAACTCTTCTTTTTAGTGGGGTAAAACCTAAAATTTTGTGATGGAGTTGAAAAATAAAATATAATTAATTTTTTACACCTACTTTAGTCTATTATGTTTGGTGCTTAGTGATAAAAAAACCTAATACTTTAGGACGGTGAAGAAAAAACCTAAAATATTTTTCATTCATTTATAGTCTTTTAACTCTCTGGCTTACTAACGAAGAAACACGAAATTTGGTGATGGAGAAGAAACATATTGAATATATTTACATCTAATTTTCCATAATTCAATGTGAAAAAGGTAAATATGAATAAGTTTGAGCTTCATTTTTTAATGTTTATTTTTACCTATATTATATAAAATATATGTCATGGACTTTAGTCTTTTAACTTTGTTGTTTAGTGGGGAAAAACCTAAAATTTTGTGATGGAATAAAAATTAAACATAATTAATTTTTTACACATACTATAGTCTATTATGTTTTGTGCTTAGTGATGAAAAAACCTAAGACTTTGGGAAGGTGAAGAAAAAACCTAAAATATTTTTCATTCATTTATAGTCTTTTAACTCTCTGGCTTACTGACTATTAAACATGAAATTTGGTGATGGAGAAGAAACATATTGAATATATTTACATCTAATTTACCATAATTCAATGTGAAAAAGTTAAATATAAATAATTTTGAGCTTCATTTTTTAATTTTTATTTTTACCTATATTATATAAAATATATGTCATGGATTATAGTCTTTTAACTCTGTTTTTTAGTGGGGTAAAACCTAAAATTTTGTGATGGAGTTGAAAAATAAAATATAATTAATTTTTTACACCTACTTAAGTCTATTATGTTTGGTGCTTAGTGATAAAAAACCTAATACTTTGGGACCGTGAAGAAAAAACCTAAAATATTTTTCATTCATTTATAGTCTTTTAACTCTCTGGCTTACTGACGAAGAAACATGAAATTTGGTGATGGAGAAGAAACATATTGAATATATTTACATCTAATTTACCATAATTCAATGGGAAAAAGGTAAATATGAATAAGTTTAAGCTTCATTTTTCAATTTTTATTTTTACCTATATTATATAAATAATATGTCATGGATTATAGTCTTTTAACTTTGTTGTTTAGTGGGGAAAAACCTAAAATTTTGTGATGGAGTTAAAATTAAATATAATTAATTTTTTACACATACTATAGTCTATTATGTTTTGTTCTTAGTGATGAAAAAACCTAAGACTTTGGGAAGGTGAAGAAAAAACCTAAAATATTTTTCATTCATTTATAGTCTTTTAACTCTCTGGCTTATTGACTATGAAACATGAAATTTGGTGATGGAGAAGAAACATATTTAATATATTTACATCTAATTTACCGTAACTCAATGTGAAAAAGGTAAATATAAATAATTTGAGCTTCATTTTTTAATTTTTATTTTTACCTATATTATATAAAATATATGTCATGGATGATAGTCTTTTAACTTTGTCTTTTAGTGCGAAAAAACCTAAAATTTTGTGATGGAGTTGAAAAATAAAATATAATTAATTTTTTACACTTACTATAGTCTTTTATGTTTGGTGCTTAGTGATGAAAAAAACCTAAGAGTTTGGGATGGTGAAGAAAAAACCTAAAATATTTGTCATTCATTTGTAGTCTTTTTACTCTATGGCTAACTTACTATGAAACATGAAATTTGGTGATGGAGAAAAAGCATATTTAATATATTTACATCTAATTTACCATAATTCAATGTGAAAAAGGTAAATATGAATAAGTTTGAGCTTCATTTTTTAATTTTTATTTTTACCTATATTATATAAAATATATGTCATGGATTATAGTCTTTTAACTCTGTTTTTTAGTGGCGTAAAACCTAAAATTTTGTGATGGAGTTGAAAAATAACATATAATTAATTTTTTACACATACTTTTGTCTATTATGTTTGGTGCTTAGTGATAAAAAAAACCTAGAACTTTGGGATGGTGAAGAAAAAACCTAAAATATTTTTCATTCATTTATAGTCTTTTAACTCTATGGCTTACTGACTATGAAACATGAAATTTGGTGATGGAGAAGAAGCATATTGAATATATTTACATCTAATTTACAATAATTCAATGTGAAAAGGTAAATATGAATAAGTTTGAGCGTCATTTTTTAATTTTTATTTTTACCTATATTATATAAAATATATGTCATGGATTATAGTCTTTTAACTTTGTTGTTTAGTGGGGAAAAACCTAAAATTTTGCGATGGAGTTAAAATTAAATTTAAATAATTTTTTACACATACTATAGTCTATTATGTTTGGTGCTGAGTGATTAAAAAAGGTAAACATTTATAAGTTTGAGCTTCATTATTTAATTATTATATTTACCTATATTATATAAAATATATATAAAGGATTATAGTCTTTTAACTCTGTTTTTTAGTGGGGTAAAACCTAAAACTTTGTGATGGAGTTGAAAAATAAAATATAATTAATTTTTTACACCTACTTTAGTTTATTATGTTTGGTGCTTAGTGATAAAAAACCTAATACTTTGGGACGGTGAAGAAAAAACCTAAAATATTTTTCATTCATTTATAGTCTTTTAACTCTATGGCTTACTGACGAAGAAACATGAAATTTGGTGATGGAGAAGAAACATATTGAATATATTTACATCTAATTTTCAATAATTCAATGTGAAAAAGGTAAATATAAATAAGTTTGAGCTTCATTATTTAATTATAATTTTTACCTATATTATATAAAATATATGTAAAGGATTATAGTCTTTTAACTCTGTTTTTTAGTGGGGAAAAACCTAAAATTTTGTGATGGAGTTGAAAAATAAAATATAATTAATTTTTTACACTTACTATAGTCTATTATGTTTTGTGCTTAGTGATGAAAAAAACCTAAGACTTCGGTAAGGTGAAGAAAAAACCTAAAATATTTTTCATTCATTTATAGTCCTTTAACTCTCTGGCTTAGTGACTATGAAACATGAAATTTGGTGATGGAGAAGAAACATATTGAATATATTTACATCTAATTTACCATAACTCAATGTGAAAAAGGTAAATATAAATAAGTTTGAGCTTCATTTTTTAATTTTTATTTTTACCTGTATTATATAAAATATATGTCATGGATTATAGTCTTTTAACTCTGTTTTTTAGTGGCGTAAAACCTAAAATTTTGTGATGGAGTTGAAAAATAACATATAATTAATTTTTTACACCTACTTTTGTGTATTATGTTTGGTGCTTAGTGATAAAAAAAACCTAGAACTTTGGAATGGTGAAGAAAAAACCTAAAATATTTTTCATTCATTTATAGTCTTTTAACTCTATGGCTTACTGACAATGAAACATGAAATTTGGTGATGGAGAAGAAGCATATTGAATATATTTACATCTAATTTACAATAATTCAATGTGAAAAAGGTAAATATGAATAAGTTTGAGCGTCATTTTTTAATTTTTATTTTTACCTATATTATATAAAGTATATGTCATGGATTATAGTCATTTAACTTTGTTGTTTAGTGGGGAAAAACCTAAAATTTTGCGATGGAGTTAAAATTAAATATAAATAATTTTTTACACATACTATA